CAAACTAATTTACAACCATACTTTCTTAATGATTTTTTTACATACATAATAACTATCTTATAATGTTCAATGGCTGAGCTTAGACATTGTTTAGAATATATATAATTTCCCAAACATAAAATCATCGTAACTGTGTTGGAATGCAGTTTTATCCATGATGGCACGTGCTCACTCGAGAGTTTAAGGTTATTTTTCTGAACGTAATCAACGTATTGTTCACATATTTTGTGGGGGTAATATGCTTTGCCTTCTCATTCTGACAGCCCTCTATCGATCAGTTGCAAAATCAAATGGGTAGGAGCAAATCAGCTAGTTTATCAATATCTTGGACGGTTTAGTTTGTTTGCGCTAACCATCCCTAATTTAGTAGCGTGAGACTAGAGAGAAGGCAGCTAGTCATCACCACCCAACTCTTGGGCTACTATTTTACTAACGTATAGTGGAATTGACCGTTACATAATAACACCCCCACGGCTGAAAAGGCGAGCATGTTTGGTGGGACGGGGATTCGAACCCGCGACCCTCAGATTGGGAGTCGAGCGCCCGAACCATGCCAAGCTTCGTTTAATAGAACCTTTTGTCTCTCATCGTCTCAGCCCAACTGATGAGTTCTGATAGAATGGACAAACGAACTACTTCTTCAGAAAGGAAACGTATTATTGGAATACGGGGTACTGATGGTAAAAAGTTGAATTCTTCATCTCGTGTAGATGTTGGAGGCATCAACTAGTGCAACAAAACGATTAAAATCAAAGCTATGGTAACACGTTGTAGAAATCTTGAGAAGACCGTAATTATTGATGTTGCTTTTTACACGTTAGGGTTTCATCTGCGGAATACATGTTAAATCCCTATCCTAGAAATCCGTGGAATATACATCACATTGTGCTTTTGTTTTAACTACTTACAGGTCTTCTGCAATTGATTTGCACCATATTGATATACTACATAAATCCGATAGGGTTTTTCGTAAATAAGAACATGTCGGTTCTTCAACAGTCGTGGAAGATTTTTAAAAGAATAAATTTCATTACTAAGACCAATGATTTGAAAACCGTTTCATAATATTTTATCTTCAGGGTTTTATTTACGTTTTGCCATTATCTTCCCTATGATGTTCCATGTTATGGTTGTCTTTATGAAGAAACATATCTTTACTTATTTTGTCAATGTAACAAAGTGCAATAAATGTTTGGTTGGAATTAAGCACAAAGCTACACAACTGGCTATCTGTGCTCTGCCCACCACGAGTATCGAAACCCGGTTTCTAGCGTTGCAAGTCCGCAGACATACCGATGTGCCACCGGGAGGCAATGCTACAAATGTGAGACCACTCTAGATGGACTTTTAATGGACTGACTAGTACAGCTCTTGGTGTTTCGTATTAAACCTCGTAATCAATTTAATCATACAGGAAAAACTGAACGTTAGCTTTTATTTTCCAAATTTGATCTTAGAGTGTACTTAATGTAACCTTAAAGTGTAATTCCATATCGTTTTATGTTTTTGTACA